CCACTCCTCGGCATCCCGGGGCCGCGCTACGCGGATTACTATTATTTTGCTCTTTGAGAAGCTTCAGTTGGCGTGGGCAGTGCGGCTGGAATCTTTGCCTTCCAAGCCAGGCTTTGAAGCCCGCCTAGCGCTAGTGTGGGACCTGGGACAAGTGCCGGGAAGCGGCCAAGCCTCAGCTTTCTCATCTGTGAAATGGGGATGGTGGAGGTACCAACCTCATCGGATTGTTTGGGAGCATTTTTGCTTAGTACCGGGTAGGAAGTAGGTACTCAATTAACGGAGGCTCTTGGTACTGTTGCTGTTAACAATAAGCCACAACACCCTGGCTCAGGTCCCTGGCCTGTAACACTCTTTCCAGGCACTTGGGTATGTGGGAGGGGTAGAGGGATAAGAGTTGGGGGATTTAGAAAACCAAAATCATGGCTTAAACTGGAATCGAGGTCATGCTTCCTTCCCCCACAATAAAGCATAATAAATGCAAATTGTCACCTAGGGCCTTGCCCCCAAGCAGGAGAAGCCATCCCCCTGGAAGCTGGGTCTGCCCTCCACCCCCTACTCCACCTGTCCAGCAGAAGCCACCTCCCCATTATGCAAGTTGGATAGGGTGTGAGTAGGGTCCCTACCGAGAGAAAGGACCATGGAGCGTGACTTCACCATAGAGCTACTGGCAGTAACATCTTCCACTGGAACATCCAAAGGAAGCAAGAATGTGAACGTCACAAACAAGGATACCCAAGAAAAAAGGGGGGCAGCATCGAAAAGCAGTATCAGTGGAGGCTCAGAACCCCCGGCATATGGGTCCACCCTGGCCACACCCCACCCCTGCCACACCCCATCCCTGCCCTAATTTGTTACATGCAGCTCTCTTGCCTTTTCCAAAGTAATAAAATCTTCCTGAAATGCTAGATTCATGAGGCCCAGCATTGCCAAGGCGGCTGGGTTCCGGAGGCGCTGCTGCGAGGCCTTGTAAACCCCTGGTGATTGTTAAAACAATGCTACAGCTTCAGCCCTTGGCCTTTTGGTTCCCTGATCCCAGACATCAGGTACACTCAGGCAGGGAGCCCCAGAACCCCTCAAGGATCCTCCCACTACTGAATAAGCCAGGGCTCCACATCCTCCAAGAGAGATCAGGGTCCTGCATGCTCCCCAAAGTCACACCCATGGATACCTGGGCCTGGCTGGCAGTAGGTGCCGGGGCAGAGATGAAGTGAGGGTAGTGAAAGAAAGAGAGCATAGTGGGAGTCACACACACACACACACACACACACACACTCATGGGGCCTGTTTTCCATTTGAGGATAACAGGGCCCTGGACACACAGTTCCAGCTGCCCAGAGCTGTGTGTGCAGGTGGTGGGGAGGAGGGGGCACCCAAGTTCCAGACCATCACTCACCTTCCCCACGAGCTTGCCTTTCCGGTTCATACACAGGTAGAACTCCGTCTCCTTGCCCTTGATCCGGACTTGACTACCGAAGGTATCTGTCTCCACTAGGAGCTGGGCTTCGAAAGGCAGAAGGAGAACAACACACGTTTTTTTTTACCGGGGGCAATAGCTTCGCCTAAAGGCTCAGCAACATGATCCCTGATCCTGTCCATCTACCCCCTGCTGCCCCCCAAATCAGGCATGGTGGATACCTCCGACCGGTACCCCTGGAGCACCCTGCCCCTTAGGCGGGAGAGGAGCTGTCTGACACCTGTTCCCTGACCCCAACGTCTCTTGACTACACTTGGAACCCAGATCACTCCAGCTGTAAGGGAGTTCTGCCCCTTGTGGCAGTGTGCCTTCTCCTCCCCTCATCACCCACCTTCCTTCATCCCTCTGCTCCCTTGCCCAAGGCAGAATAGAAAGCCACACAACCTCAGAGAAGCAGCAGTCTCTGGAATCAGACGGACAGATGCATGTGAGCTCACACAGGTAGCGCGCACACACACACACACAATCCTGCCTTGAGGGATGTCAAGCTACTTCCTCCAAAATTTAAGTCCGAGGTCCCTTCCTCCAGGGCAAACATCTGGAGCGTCCCCTCCTCCCTGAGGGTATGGGGGTAAGGGAGTGCCCTGGCCACTTGAAGTGGGGAAGGGCTGGGGAGGGTTGGTTCAGATCCTGGGGAAAGGAGGCTGTCTGCATAATATTTCATTTTCCTCAATCGAGGCCACCAAGGCTGCAGGGTAACTAACTCCTAGAAGCCCGGAAGGCCCAATCAGAACCCAATACCCCCGGTCCAGAGTGGGAGGCTCCATGCTAACCATCAATGCTCCACGGAGCCTCCCTCAGGATGGGGGGGAGGGAGGTGTCCAGAGCTGATCCTCAAAGTCCTGAATGAACAAGGACATCAAGTGGCCAAAGGGTGACTATCTCTTGATTAGGCTTACTGTGTCCAGACCCCTGCCTGTCCCTCTGCCAGTCCACATTTTCTCACCAGTAGGGTGCTGTGTGACTTTGGTGGGCCATGTGCCCTCTCTGAGCTTGAATCCCTGTGCCTGACTCCCCCCACCCCCTTATACTGACTTCTTTGCCTATGACCCCCCATTCTCACCCTCCCTCCCCTGACTCTTTGCTTCCCAGCACCTGCCCCTCCCTTACCCACAAAATTTTAATTTCAGTGACAAGGGACTTGCTTCTCCATAACAAAAATCACAACCCTAAATACAGTATCCTTGGGGCCACGAAGAGTGTACCACAGTGCCCCTAAAATACACTAGGTATGATTTTAATAAAAAAAAATTTTTAAATATATACCCTGGTGCCCTGCTGTGAAAATTAAAACCATCTGGAACTCAGGATTTCCAATAATTAATCTAGCCCTCCTTTGACACCACTACTAATTAAAATATGATATCCACCTTTCCAAGGGAAAAAAAAGAAGAATTTACATAAAATTTAAAGATCTAACAAGAATTTAGTAATTCTAGGAACAAGGGAGGGGGCACATTCTTCTCTCCACCTTCCCCCATCCCTAGTAAACACTGAGTTGAGAATATTAACCAACCCTGTGATAGGGTGTTATAAGCCCTTCGTGCTCTCTGCTCCCCTTAATTCAGATTCTCTGTAACTCTCCTGTTAGCTTGGTCCCTGGGAACCGAGGGCCAAACATCGCAGCAGTTCTGGGACTTACTTTCTGTATCTCCTCACAAAGCTTAGGCCCCACATGGGAATGGGGGTTGTTGGGGGTCGGGAGGGTCCTCAGCTCCCAGGAGCTTCTGACCAAAGCAGCACGTGTAAGGGGAAAGGTGAGAGCTTTGGGACGCACAGAGATGGCTATGAATCCCTGGCCCCACTTGCCGACCAAACCATATGACCTTGGGCCTGAGTTTCTTCATCTGTAAAATGGGGACAGTCATCCCTAATCTCCAGCAGTTACTGTGAGGATTGCATACAATGATGCTGTAAAGGGCCTAGCACCCTGCTCTCAGAGGTTGGGTAGGTGAAACTTAGGAACTGTTTTTAACTTTCCTAACAACTGCAAAATAAAACTGCTTTCCTAGGAAGAAAAAAAATAGTGGGGGGAAAAATAAACGAGATGTGTGTAAGGGCAGAAGTAGAGCAGAACTTGCCTCCCTGAGATGTGCCCTCTGTCCTGAACTTCCTCAGCATCCTCCAGGGTCGCAGGTATCCCACACTGTGAGTGCATCAGAAAATGCCTTAGGGTGGGATTCAGGGGTCTGATCCCATTTCTGGCATTGCCACCCTGGGTATGTGACCTTGAGTACGCACCTTCCCCTCTGAGCCTCAGTCTCCTCACCCATGCAACGGGAAGGGGGCTTGACCCTATTCTGATTGTCTCTGGGGTTGGAGACTGGTAGAGATGGGGAGCTGAGAAGAGGGTGAGGCCCAAGGGCTGGGGCTCAGGCAACCCCAAGTGAGTCCAAGGGGGAAACTGCTCTGTCTGCCCTCTCCCAGCACCTGGGCCTCTGTCCTCAGAATAGCTCCAACTACAGGCTGGATCTGGCTCCCCTGTGAGGCTGCTGAAGTCACATATCCCCACGAGGTTGGGTATCTTTGTCCCCTTTTTACCGTGTGGGAAAGCGAGGTTCAGAGAAGCAACCCAGCAGGAGAGGCTGACATCAGGTCTGCCTGGCTCCTGCTGGTGCCTGGGTCCCAGGGGAGGGCCCCCAGCTCTGGGGACACAGCTCAAAGCACAACCCTCATCTCTCATTAACCACAGCCCGTCTCAAGGAGCCGTGGGCGTTCGCCTGAGCCATCCAAAGGGCCTGGGGCCGGGGCTGGACTGCACCTCACCCTCGCAAACCTAGCCGCCCTCACCCCAGTGTGGGAGGGTCTGCATCAGCCACTGCGCCAGGGGAGCCAGAAGTCTGTTCTCCCCCACTCGACCACAACAAGCCATGGAGTGACCTAGACTCCACTCAGCGCATGACATAATGAGGAGGGAGCCGGGCCAGAATTATGTCAAGTCTTTGGGGAGTCATAGCCGCAGCAGTTCTCAGAAAGAGAGAGAGACTCCGCCCACCCAGAGCAGGTTTGCCCAGAGCCTGGCTGGTCCTCAGCATCATGCTCCCCCCTACCCCGTGTCTTATGACCCAAGCCCCCAAGATGCAGCTCTCAGGAGCTAGAAACCCCACCTCTGCTCAGTTCCACCCTCGGGTCTGTACCAGGCCAGGCAGGAGGGGCTGATGACATTATCTCGCCTCTCACCACCCTGGCCTCCCCTTCAGTCCGCACAACTCAGCGGCCTCCTCTCTCTGCTACTTTTGGCCCCAGAAGTCTCTCCTCTACACATTGGCCAGAAGAGCCTCTTAAAATAAAATTGATTGTGTCTCTTCCCTGCTAAAGCCTCCTGGGGATCTCCGACCCACCAAAAATCCAGGCTCTTTATGGGGACCCATAAGGGGCACGTGATCTGGCCCCTGCTGCCTGCCCCAACTTCCCACCCTCACTCACACAAGCCTCTTTGCTGTTCCTCCTCTAATGCGCCAAGCACGCTCCTACCTCAGGGCCTTTGCACTTTCCCTCAGCCTGGAGACTGCTTTGCCCAGACCATCCCATAGTGGCTTCTCATCTCCTCGGTTGACGTCTCAACTCAAATGTCACCTCCTCAAAGAGGCCTCCCCTGGCCATGCTATCCAATGTCATACCACACTCCCAGTCTAGCTCTACCCATCCCCAGCTCCATTTTCCTCAGAGCTCTTCTCTAAGTTGTCTTATTTGCTACCTTTCCTATTGTCTGTCTCTACCCACCGGAAGGTAAGCTCCATGAGGTCAGGACCTTAACTGTCTCATTCACCACTGAGATTTCCAGCACCTAGTCCGTACCTGGCTCATAGTAAATGACTGACAAGGAAATTTTAGTAAATGCATAAAGGGACTGGTGAGTTAGTTATGAGTGATGCTACTTAAAAGTTAAAGACAATGAGATTCAGGGAGGTAAAAGGATTGCCCACGGGCACACAGCTGGTAAAAGCAGGGTAGAAGTTCAAACCCATTCTCTGATCCCACGGTCAGTGCCCTTAGCAACTCTGCCCTTCCCACCCTCTACCTGCCTCACACTAGAACTCTGCTCTCCAACACACCCAGCCCCAGCCTCAAGGTTACTATCACATATTCTGACTTGCTGTGTGACAAGGGGAAAAACCCCTGTCCTTCTCTGGGCCAGGACTAGGTGACCTTCTTTCAGTACTGCCCCTCTAGGAAGTATCATAACTTACATTATTTAGGTCTTAAATGGTGATGCTGAGCACCATTTTACCTTATACACATTATCTCACTTAATCCTTACAACAATCCCAGGAGATTAGAACTATTTTTATTATCCCCATTTTACAGGTAAGAAAACTGAGTTCCCAAGGTCACACAGTGATGGAGTTAAAACCCAGGCAGGCTAACCCAGAAGTCTGGGTCTTAGTCAGTCTCTCACACCAGTCACTTCTCCTCCATGCCAGTCCCTTTCCTGGGGGCATAAGTGAGTGGACGAACACCTAAGGTGGGCAGGGAAGGTCTTTGCTTTGACCTCACCTTCTTGGGACAGAGGTCTGTGGGTGGGGATAAGCCAAAGGCTGGGGCCCATCCCTCCCCAATCCACTTCCAAATGAGGGAGGAAGGAGTGCCTATGGTCACCCTGAGGAAAATAGCTTCGAGCTGATTCTGGGTAGTGGGGGAGCCCATAGAAGCACCCAAGTCTGGGTTCAAACCATAGCCAGAGAGGCAGGAAAAGGTTTCAGATCTGGCCAAAGGAAGGAAAGGCTGCATGCACTGGAGGGTGAGTGAGTGCAGGATGAGGGGTCCCCACAACCCAGCTCGCCTGAGGGAAAGCCCACAGAGCCGGTCTCACCAGCACCCAGCTGAGAGCAGGAGCCCAGGGCTGCCCATGGCTCGGGGCCAGGAGCTCGAAGGACCCAGTCCCTTCTCCAGCATCCAGAGAAGAAAGCAGAAAAGGGAAAAGAGTGGAAGAAAAAGCTGGAAAGGAAGTCCTTTCTATAAAAACTCACGCTGTCTTTTTTCCCATTTCTCTTAAATGCATGGAGTAACAATGACAATTTAAAAA